CGACACCTTCCACCTTCACTTCGCGGCTACACCCCGGGCCATGGCGCTCCAAGAAAGGTGACAGCCACTGGCTCAAGCCACCGCCAAAGTCATCGCCGCAGTCCACGTAGCGGCTCTCGATGTGACGGTTTTGTCATAATGAACAAGAGTGAATGCACTAGGAAAGGGGTGGGTACAAGTAGGAAAACCTAAAACTGTTGTACCCCATAGGAACTACCCCACTACAGCCTAAACAGACTATAGCATATAAGTTTGACACACCACCATAGGCAAAGTGGGGGAGAGCGAGGGGTCACAAGACCAGTGAAGAAAAGCAAAGCAAGCCCAGGGTGGATCACAAAGTCACCACGCATTCTGAGCGCAAGCAGATGGCCACAAGGCCAGTTCACATGCAGAGTTATACAACAGTGATAAAAAACCTAGCAAGTGAAAGCATGCAGGTATAAATATATAGATCACAGTACAAGCAAAGTCAAAAAGTGAGCAAGTGAGGCAAGGTAGGCCAGTACAGAAACGCTGATGATCACAAGGCGGAAGTGCCTTGGTGAAGATATCAGCAGTGTTGGCCCGAGAGGCCACGTAAGCAAGACGAAGCTGACCCCACTGCTGCAACTCTCGAGCAAGAAAGTAGCGAAGGGCAATGTGCTTCGTTCTGTGCTCCAGTCTGTGCTCCTGATACAAGGCCAGCATGGCCTTGTTGTCGACGTACAGAACTGGAGGAGAACGATGCGGCTCTCCCAAGTCGGTCAGCAGGTAGGTGAGCCAGCCTAACTCCTGTGCAGCCATGGCCCCTGCGTAGATCTCAGCCTCACAGCTGGAGCTGAGAACAGAAGACGAGCGGGTAGACCACCACGAAACGGAACCGGAGCCAAGGCTGAAGGTGTAACCCTGTGACGACCGCTGCGTAGCCAAGTCGTCAACCCAAGAAGCGTCTGCGTGACAAGTGAGGACAACTCGAGCCCGTCCTCCAAGAAAGTAGCCCCATGCCCGACGTACTGCACAGGTAGCGCAACACCCTCTTCGCTGCAGCCATGTGCTCTGGTCGGTGTCTCCCAGGAGCAACATAGCATGCCAAGATGCTAAGAGGGTATGCCAAGTCAGATCAAGTGCAGGTCATCAGGTACATGAGGTAGCCCACAAGCTCTGGGTACGGGCCACTCGGCTCTACGGACTCATCCGAAGGCAGAGCTAAGAGCGAGAGACCGGTAGGAAGAGGAGTGGGCCTGTGGTGAGGAGTACTGGAAGTCGAAGCGCTGAAGGACCTGCTGCACCATGTGTGACTGAGTCAAGGTAATGGTGTGCCGTGCTCTGTCCCGGGTGATCTGCAAGCCAAGATAGCTGCGCGGTTCACCTAGGTCTGTGCACGTGTGTCTCTTCTGCAGCTCCGACTTCACGTGGGCGAGTCCCTCAGTGTTAGCAGTGGCAAAGACCAAGTCGTCGACATACACGAGGATGTAGAACAGCGGCAGCGAAGTGTCGGTGCGCAGAAACAGCGACGGGTTAGTAGTAGAAGGAGCAAACCCAAGAGCCGCAAGCGTAGTCCTCAGTGTGTCGTGCCACTCACGGGGTGCCTGGTGGAGACCGTAGACTGGCCGCCGGAGGCTCCACTGGGTACCAGGAGGAAACGACCCAGTGAAGCCAGGTGGGCGGCGCAGCCAGATCTCCTCGTGCAGGCTGCCCTGTAGGAAAGCAGTGCTGAAGTCAAGAGAGTGAAGCTCGTAGTCATGCTGAGCAGCGACGTGCAGCAGAACCCGAAGAGTGGTCATCTTTGGGGTCGGGGAGAAGGTCAGGAAAAAGTCAACTCCCTGTCGCTGACTGAAGCCTCGAGCAACGTAACGCGCCTTGAAGACAGGCGGAGAACCCGGCGGCCGCTTCACCCTGAAAATCCACATGCCACTGACGATGTTCGCTCCAGGAGGGGGAACCTCATCGACGTAGGTGCCTGTGGACTTCCAGGATGCCATCTCTGCGTCCATGGCTGACTGCCACTGAGAGGAGTAGGGACCCGTAATCGCCTCTGCGTAAGAGTGCGGGGTCGGGATGTCCGGTGCATCCGCGTCTCCCTCAGGTGCAATCAGCATGGACACGAGATGAGGTACAGTGGCTGCAAAGCACTCAAAGTCCTCCTGCCTGTCCTCAAGGACGTCCGTGCCAAGAGCACACTCACCCCCGACGGACGGAGGACAGACAGACTCAGACTCAGCAACAAGACTCGCGGCGTAGTCTAGACGACAGTGAGCAGCAAAGTCGACAAGCTCAGCAACTAAGGCAGACGCAGCTTTGGACTCAAAGGAAGGGTCAGTGACAACAGTGGCCAGGAGACGTGTGACAGTAGGACTAGCAGCACGAAGAGAGTCAGACTCAGGGTCCGGACCATCAGCAAGGGAGGACGCAGGAGGAGACGATGAAGGGACACGCTGTGGAGCAGTGGACGGACGACATGCCATCTGGTGCATGCCGGGGACAAGAGGAGGACGCAGACGCGGAACACGACGACTAGCGCGTGCAGTGCGAACGGGTGACGCAGGACGAGACGCAGGCTCACGACGCTCAGCAAGGCCTCCAGTCGGACCAGTGTAAGGAGAGGGAGCAGGCAGTGGGGAGGCGGGCTGTAACTGCAACTGTGACGGGACAGGCGGTGGACACTCTAAGGGAGGAGCAGGACTAGTAGAAGGCGGGAGACCAAGAACCTGCTGAAAGAGCGGAACGAAGTACGGCAGCGGCCGCGCAGCGCCTCCAGAACCAGCAGAGTCAGCACCAGCACCCCCAGCGTCAGCTCCAACTCCCGCAGCACCACCAGCAGCTCCAGCAGCGCTAACTCCAGTACCCCGAGGAGCACCAGCTCCAGCAGCACCGTCAGCTCCAGCACCTCCAGCAAGACGAGCGCCAGCGCCTCCAGCTCCAGCCCCTGCAGCACCACTAGCTCCAGCACCAGTAGCACCTCCAGGAGCTCCCGCTCTAGTAGCACCAGCACCTCCAGTAGCTCCAGTAGCACCTCCAGTCCCAGCAGCTCCAGTACCGCCAGTACGAGCACCTCCAGGACCAGTGGCTCCAGCACCTCCAGCGCCAACCTCAGGGTCGGCCGCCACACCAGCACCAGTAGCTCCAGCGCCCTCAGCTCCAGCTCCAGTAGCACCTTCAGCTCCCACAGCACCACGTCGGCGGCAACAGTGCCGAGAGTACCACTCACGCAGCTGCTGGGAAGAGAGAGTGCCCCCAGGCGCAGTACGGTCAGACGCAGTACCCTCAGGCTCAGCACCCACGGGCGCAGTGCCTCCAGTCGTAGCACCCCCAGGCTCAGTACCTCCAGGCTCAGCACCCCCAGTCACAGCACCCCCAGGCTCAGCACCCCCAGTCTCAGCACCCCCAGTCTCAGCACCCCCAAGCTCAGTACCCCCAGTCTCAGCACCCCCAGTCTCAGCACCCCCAGTCTCAGCACCCCCAGTCTCAGCACCCCCAAGCTCAGCACCTCCAGGGTCAGCACGCTCAGGCTCAGTACCTCGCGCAGGACCAGAGTCGACAGCTACCTCGACAGGCTCGACCGGGTCTACCTGGGAAACACCTGAGGGACCAGGACCCTGGGGAGGGAGGGGGTGTACCGAAGCGGCACCTGGCGTGAGGAAGAGCGGCGGAGGGGGGAGCGGGGCAGTGCGGTAGGGGAAGAGACGGTAAAAGGGGACCGACTCGTCAAACGTGACGTCCTGAGAGGGCAGGACACGGCGCGAGGTGGGGTGGTAAAACTGCCAACCAGGCGCGTCAGGGACGAAGCCAAGGAAGACACAAGGAACGGCGAGGGAGGAGAGCTTGTCCGCGGACGTATCGCGGACAAAGGCACGAGATCCCCAGACCCGGAACACCGACGCATCGCCAGCCTCTCCCGTCCAACGCAGTGTCGGCGAGGTCTCCGGAACGGAGACACGGGCCAGAGGTTGAGCTGATGCGCGGCGTTCCGGACCGCAAACGGCCATAGAAAATGGGGGGCAGCCGCATGGATCAAGGAGGTACGAGCGACCTCCATGACCAAGCCAATGCGGCGCTCAGCAACCCCATTCTGCTGCGGAGAGGCCGGAACCGTGAACGTCTTCTCAATGCCCTCCCCCTGACAGAAGGCTCTCAAGAGGCCAGAGGAAAACTCACCACCTCTGTCAGAGTGCAGTCGCAGAACGGGAAGGTCCGTGCGAAAGCGCCTCTCCAGCTGGAGACGGGTAGCGCGGATCCAAGGGATCAAGACACCAGGGACCTCACTATCACAATAGATTTATATCTATTTATTATAATCTGCCTGTAGTGTAGCTGTTGTGTAATTCCCTTCTATGGTGGTGCACCTCTTTCATCTTTGTTAGGTTGCTATATGTACTCGTGTGCTATAGTGAACCTCCAACCATTTTCAATTCTCCTTGGCACAAACTACTCGACACCCGTTTGGCCTAGGCTACTAAGCCTAGGCCCTTAGTTAAACCCGTACTCTAGTTAAGATCGTATCGTAACATGGTATCAGAGCTACTAAGATCCTACTCCTAGGTGAATGAGCCCACCACCAGCTGTCGATATGACGCGCCCCGTCGATCAGGTCGTTGCGCAGCCCGTTACGTGCATCGCTGGCCCGTCGCTCGCTCGTCGCCCCACCGGCTCGAGGTCCCGCTGCTGCTGCGCTAGCGACGACGAGCTGCGCGAGGGCGCTCGTCGCGCCCCACCGTTACGGCCCCCCCAGTTCACCTGCGGACCCGCGAGCAAGAGAGACAGCGGATCCGCGGACCCGCCTTCAGCGAGCGAGCCAGCGGACCCGCGAACCTGCCTTCAGCAAGCCCGTCGACGGACCCGCCGACGGGCTCGTCACAGGGCCCGCCGACGGACCCGCCGTCGGACCCGCCAACGAGAGCGCGAGCAAGCCCGCCTGCGACCCGCCACCCGCACCCGCGCGACCCGTTCCTGCCCCGCTTGCATCTGCTGCGCCAGCTACTGCCGTTTCGTCCCGTTCCCGCCGCCCCACCCGGAACCCGATGCCCCACCTGTACTCGGCCGCCTGCCCGTCTCCCCCCCCCCCGTCGCAACTGTTCGCGTGTGCAGCGGCGGTCGCTGTGGGTGGGAGAGGGAGGACGGGAAGGGATTGGCGGCCCAACCGACGCGCCAGCCAGCTCGCACCCCGCCCATCTCCCATACGCCACCCGCATCTGCACGACCCGTCCCTGCCCCGCCTGCATCTGCCGCGTCAGCAACTGCCGTTTCGTCCCGTACCCGCACTGTCCCTGCCCCTCCCCGTCCCTCCCTCGTCGCGCCTTCCCCCTCTACCGCGCCTGCCTATGCCGTGTTGGGCGGTGGTGGGTGTGGAGGACAGTGGGGGCGGCGGCGGCGGGAATGGCGGGAGTTGCGGGAGTGGCGGGGTTGGCGGCTCATGTGGGGGGGTGGGGGAGGCGTGGGGGAAAGGGGTGGTGGGCGGCTGTCAGCAGTGAACGCCAGCGCAAGCGCCAGAACTGCCGCCAACGCCTACCGCCCGTCCGTCTTCCCTTCCCCCCCTCCTCGTTGCCTTCACTACCACGACTGCAGCTGTTGGGGGGGGAGTGGCATGGAGGGGGTGATCAAACTGCAGCAATTGTCGCCACGCCTCCTCCTCTCTCTCTCTGCCGCTGTTGCTGCTGTGGGGGGGAGGTTCAGGGGGTGTGGGTGGATGTTCCAGCTGCAGCAACTGCCACCACACCTCCTCCTATCATCCCCCCGCCCCGTGTCTCCCGTGCTGCTACCCCGTCGTTCCTGTGCCCCACCTGTGCTGTCCAAACCTGATTGTGCCCCACCCGTTACACCCGTGCTGTCCGTACCCAGTCGTGCCCCACCCGTTCCACCCGTTCTGCCCGTGTCCTGCCCGTGTTCTGCCCGTGATTCTGCCCGTACTGCTGCCCGTGATTGTGCCCGTGATTATACCCGTGTGTTGCCCGTATTTTTCCCGTGTTTAGCACGTTATCCTGACCGTGATTCTGCCCGTGATTCTGCCTGTGATCCTGCCCGTGTTGCTGCCCGTTCCCGTGCCATACTGACCGTGCACCTCCTGTGCTCCCGTGATCCTATGCTACTCATGCTTCTTGTGCTTCTCGTGCTGCCTCGTGGTCCTGTGCTGTCCCATATTGCCCGTACTTCCCCGTGCTTGCCCCGTGCCCGTGCCCGTGCTGTCTGCCCGTGTTCCCTGTGCTTCTGCTCGTGCTCTACCCGTGCTGTTTGTTCCCGTGCGTGCCCCACCTGTACGGAATCCCAGCCACTAGACCACTAGGATAAAAGGGCTTGTTAAGTAGCGGGTCAGTGCGCCCATAACCCCCCAGGACAACGAGCCTGTAACCCTTCCCTAGGATCAATCGGGGATCACGAGTGGACCTCTGACACCCCCCTGCACTGGGATGCCCGAAGTGCACACACCGACGGGGTCTCGCCGAGACGCTGCTGCTGGCGCTGGACACCACCAGACCCTCCACGCTGCGCCGGTCCACCCCGACCACCACCTTCGCCGCCGCCACCACGCCCACTGCCGCCACCACCACCGCCTCCACCCCGGCCTCCTCCACCACCACTGCCGCCACCACCCCCGCCGCCGCCATTGACCCCCCCAGCCCTGCCACCACCCCCACCACCGCCACCACCCCCACCACCGCCACCGCCCCCACCGCCTCCACCACCACCACCCCCGCCGTCACCTCCACCACCCTTGCCCCCCTTGCCCCTGCCGCCCTTGCGCCTCCCACTAGGAGCAGACGCAGCCCCGACCTCCTCAGCACCAAGGTAGCCGACAGCAGCAGCAGAGGCGACAGAGGGGGGAAGGGGAACACCCCTCAAAGAAAGGCGTGCGGGGGTCGCCACGAGAGGCACCTACAGCGACTATGCTAGCCTCAGCTGCAAGCAGGTGCTTCTCGAGTAGGTCAACGGTGAGCTCGGTGGGGCAGAGGGCGAGAAAGTGGTCCCTGACTGCGCGAAGAGAGTCAGGGAGACGGGTGACTAGGTGGTAGACAGTGAGGTACATCGGGGGGGGTTCTTGGTGAGAAACTCAGCAGGAAGGGCGGCTCTGTAGCAAGTGTCACTAGTGCGGAGGTGAGTAATGAGGTCAGCGACTGTGGGAAAGGCGGACAGATCGGGGCAAAGGTAAGGCAGCGAGAGACGGCCGATCGTAGCAGAGGCAGGCGAGGAGTAGCGCGCTACTACAGCATCGTACAGCGCCTTAGCAGTCTTGTGCTGGCCAAAATGCGCGCGCTCATCTAACGGCAGGTGGCTGCGAATGGCTAGGCGAGCGTGAGCGTCACGAGTCTGCCACTGGAAGCGAGAAGTACTGTCAGCAGTCTCAGCAAGCGCAGGAGCGGATCCGGAAGCGTGATCATACAGCGAGATATCGTCCTTAGCAGTGATCAGTAGGAACAGGTGCAGGTCGTCGAGCCAAGCATCAAACTGAATCGGACGGCCCTCAGCATCGAAAGAGAGAACGGTGGGACTAGCCATGGTGGCAGCAGTAGTAGTAGGAACAGCCGTAGCAGTAGGAACAGCAGTAGCAGCAGGAGCAAGAGCAGCAGTTGCTGCAGGTGGAGCAGTGCGGCACAGCAGGGCAGCGCGGCTCGGTCAGGGCGGCGCGACTCGGGCAGGACGGCGCGGCGCGGCTCGGGCAGGCAGGGCGGCCCGACAGCGGGCCTGCGCGCGGTTTGCGGCTGCGCGTAGGCTGCGGCTGCGCGCGGGCCGCGGCTGCGTGTAGGCGGCGGCTGGGCGCGGGCTGTAGCAGCCGGCGTGCGGCAGCCGCAGCGCACGGGCTGCGGCCTGCGTGCAGGCGGCGGCTATGCGAGGCGGCGACCTACGTGCGGGCGGCGGCCTACGTGCGGGCAGCGGCCTACGTGCGGGCGGCGGCCTACGAGCGCGAGGCGGCGGCCTACGTGCGGGGCTGCGGCGCGCGGGACAGTACGAGGGGCGGGGCGCGCGAGGGCGCACGAGCAAAGAGAGGCGCACGAGGGCGCGACTAAGGCAGGGCGCACGAGGGCGCTTCTAGCGGAACGATGGGCCCGTAGTAGTAAGCGGTCCTAGGTGGCTAACCTAGGCTCGTAATACCATGTCATAATGAACAAGAGTGAATGCACTAGGAAAGGGGTGGGTACAAGTAAGAAAACCTAAAACAGTTGTACCCCATAGGAACTACCCCATAACAGCCTAAACAGACTATAGCATACAAGTTTGACAGGGTTGTCCGCTTGATCTGCGCATGCAAAGACACCAGATCGAGCTGGACAGACAAAGGCACACAAAGACATAGTTAGAATGGTAAATAGAGTGACATGCGTAGATATAATCGTACCACCTCACCTGTCTCTGCTGAAAGGTCTTGTTCAAGATGTTGAGTTGCTCAAGCACATCAGCCAGGAAGTAAAGGAAGAAGTGAAAACGGTAGGAGCTTGCCAGCGCGTACATCTTGCTGTTAAGCTCCTTCAGCAGCACAATCACTACCGGCAAAATAGCGACAAGGCGACGGACGACATCCCCCTTTGACAGCCACCGAACGGAGTGGATGCCTTGCACTTCAAGGCTCGTTTTGGTGATAACCTTTTGCAGATCCATAAACCGTGCGTGGCGCGGTCCCGACCGACCAAGCAAATCGGCCACAGCCCGGATGAGATCGTCGACCATGTCGAAGACGGGGAGTTCCTCTGCCGCATCCTTCGCTGCAAGTGCCTCCCTGCAAGTGGAACACATCAAACTCGAGACATTAGAGACGAGCTCGAACAAGATGGTGTGACGGGCTAAAAACGAAACAGCGGAGTTTACTAACCTGTGAGCGATGCAGTGAACGGAGACAAGGTGCGGGATTTTCTGTCGTAGTCGGACAACCAAGCCGGCCTTAGACCCCATCATCACTCTTGCGTCGTCGGTGCTAATGCCGGAAATCCTCTACAGATCGACACCGACTGCCTGCAAGTGGGAAAGCAGTATGCTCAGAAGAGAAGAAGCGTCTGCCTTTTCCACCGTGATCAACTGCATGAACTCGGTCACGAGGACGTTGTCGCGGATGAACGAGGCGTACAAGATCATGTGCTTCCCCCCGAGCCGATCCGTGCTTTCATCGATGCAGATGCCGATGAAAGGGCTTGTCAGGATGTGCTCCAGCTTAGTTGTCTGTAGCTAGGTAGCAAGGGCCTGCGTGAGCTCACTGAAGCTGTACCTGCCCGCAGGGAAACCGAAGACAGGAGATTAGAAGAAGGTTAAGGTAGGAACATCAAAACACCAACACAATACAAGGGTGACTAATACTCACGATGTGTAGTAGGTGCCATATCCCTTCTCAGGGAAGCCTTGGACACCCTTGCGTGCGAGGTACTGCACCAGCTTTACCCATGTTCCCATGGGCGCATCGCAGGAGCTAATGAACAGCATGGAGTTCAGCAACGCCATGACTCGGTTCTTCTCAGCATCGACAGCAGCTCGATGTTGGTCGATCCGTGGCTGCTTTGAAGCCGCGTTCAGCAGAGCCTCCTGCTTCTCCATCGCCAGCTTGTGTTTCGTCGTACCGGCGTGCTTGCGAAACGCCTGCGTCTGCACGTCGGTCGCCCCTCGCCCTGTCCGGCCACATCGTCGCCTGACTCCGGCATGCTTGGTGCAGACACTGCACTTAAAGCAGGGAAACCGGATTTAGATTTCGTTAGCACAAGCCACGGGAACCTCTCTGACCACTTAGTTTTGTACTTCACAAGAGCGTCTGCATAGACTGCTTCAATGGCCTCAGAAATGTCTATGACCAATGATGGACGAGGGGATGTATTGTTCACGACAGGCTGCTTGACAGCGGCACTGGAAGATGACATTGCCCAGCTCAGTGTCGACTGCTTCAGCTTAAAGGTGCGCGGGGCAGAGGACTTCGTTGTTGGCGACTCGACAACCACTGTGTCGGAGACGGCAGCCGGCGCAGCAGGCTCACTCCGGATGGAATCCGGGCTTGAACAAACCGGTGGGTGGTCGCGGTTCACCCTCTCGACTAGAGCAGGCTTTGCAGTAGGAGGCCTGGGAGCGAGGACACCAGTGCCAAGCGAGCGCAGGAGCATATCAAGCCCCGTCCTGGCTTCCTCTAGGCCGTCTAGTTCATCATCACTACTATCCATGCCTGCATCATCATCGCAAGCCAAGCCTTCTGCAAGGCCGGCCATGCCTGAAAGGGGAGAGCGTGCCGAGCTCCAAAGATGCTAGCAAGGGTTTGAGAAAACCAGGGCGAGAGGCGGGGATTGACAGTGCAGCTCGCCTGGTGGGTGGGTACGGTGGGGTCATCAAGAGAGAGCCATAAAAGAAGGCCCTCTCGTTCTCACCACCCAACTGCAACGCGGCGCGACGTGGGGGCACCATTCACGCACTTGGATGCAGGTTCGGGGTGGGTGAGATGGGGTGAGGTGGGTTTCCTTGTCGTGAGTGCGTGCGGTCCGTTGCTGTGATGCACTGGTGGTGGGTGATTGGCCCATAAGGGATGTGATTGGTTAAACAACCAATCACATCACTTTAAGCATTCTGTCGGTGACAACGAAGCAACCGACGCGTCGGGAAAATTCGTTTTCCCCCCGCGTCGGCGCTGTACATGACAACTTTTGCGTGATTGACGGTGGATGTACCTGGACAGCCGAAACTCACGGCTCCAGCACGAATTTGTGATAGCGTGAATTCAGCCTACACTCTCGTTACAACTCTGATCAATCAGCGAGCACTTGTAAAAAAACGCTGGAAAATCAGCCAATGCATTAAAAAAAAAACCTGAACAGCCAACACATAAAAAAAAACTGAATTATCAGCCAACACATCAGCCACATCTCTGGGAAATCAGCCTCCAGAGCCTAAATCAGCCTTTTTTCTCTGACTTCTGAGGCCCTACTGAAACATGCCGAATCTAAAACCTACATCAACAAGCGATCTAATTGATTGGACCGTCCAGATAACCAATAAGAAGGCCTGGTTCAATTGTTACTCGATTGCAACACAGCCTCTACTGCCACAAGCGCATCTTCAATCTCCATGGTGCAAAAGTGCAGCGCCCTCACGTGCACGCGTGCCACGCGTGCCGCGGCTCGCAGCAGCACAAAGAGGTCCACATGCACCTCGTGGAACGGCATGCGCGCCCGCGGGCGCTCGTAGAACACCAGCTCACTGCTGCGCAGGGGCTGGGGGGCCGGGAGGAGTGGTGGGGGGGGGGAGAAAGGGAGGGAAAAGGGGGAGGAAGGGAGTTTGAGTGGGCCGGTGATGAATGGCATGCGCGCCCGCGGGCACTCGTAGTACACCAGCTCACTGCCACACAGGGGCTGCCGGGGGGCGGGGGAGAGGGGAGAGGGGAGGGCGGGCGGAGGGAGGGGGTTCGAGTGTGTGGAGATGAAGGCATGCGCGCCCGCGGGCACTTGTGGAACACGGGCTCACTGCAACGCAGGGGATGGGCGGCAAGAGGAGAATGTTGGGGAGGGGGTAAGGGGAAGGGAGGAGTGAGGGAAAGTGTACGTCTGACAGAACGGGGGGGTTTGGGTGAGGGTGACGCATGGTTTCTGGCCCAGAAGAGCATGGCGCAGGCAAGGCGTATGACTTAGAATGGCATTGGTACCGAGCTGCTTGGGTCGATGCATGCATTTGGAAGAATTCGATATTCCATGGTGCAAATTTCCACACTGGCTCAAACTTCCATGGTGAAAGCCCGAACTCTATTGATCACCATGCCCCACCCCCAATTTCACTGATATTTCTAATCACAACCAAGAAGAGACATGTAACCACTATCCAATACCATTTCAGGACACATGACACCATGTCACAAACAACTGTGCCACCTGCATGACACCTGCGATACATGAGCAGAGCACAACAGGCCCTGGGGCAGCGCAACACTGGGGCAGAGCAGAGCAGCACTGGGGCAGAGCAGAGCAGCACTGGGGCAGAGGGGGCGGCATGAGAAGTCACGCGCCGCATGTCAACGTGTCTCAAAACACAACTGCGGTACCTGCATGACACCTGCATGACACCTGCATGACACCTGCATGACACCTGCATGACGCCTGCATGACGCCTGCATGACACCTGGAACACATGAGCAGAGCAGCACAGCACCTGGGGCAGCACAGAGCAGCACAGCACCTGGGGCAGTGGGGGAGCCATGGCGAAGTCGCACCGCCGCATGTCCGCCTCCACGTCCTCCACCCTCACCGGGAACCACCGAGCCCTCTCCCTCTCCCCCTCACCCCTCACCCCCTCCCCCTCAGCCCTCTCTCCCTTCATTCGCTTCCGTTTCTGCCTTCCCTTCTCCCCTCCCTCCTTGCCACACGTCTCCATATCCATCCACTCCTCTCTCCCTCCTTCCATTCCCCATCGGCCCTGCGCATGTGCCGTCTCGTCCCTCTCCACATCCACACCGCTCCCATGAGCGTCCCCATGGGCTGCGGGAGGCGAGGGGGCCCGCAGGGGGAGGGCGGCGTGCAGGTGGGCGCGCAGCTCGCGGTCGAGAGTGGAGGGGTCGGCGCCGCGCGTGGCGTCGGGGGCAAAGACGTGGCGCTCGCAGTGCTGCAGGTACTGCCGCAGCTGCAGCGGCGCTGCAGGTGGGAAAGTGGGGAGAGGGGGGGGGGGGAGAGCAGGGGCAAGTAACAGGGGAGAGGAGGAGAGGGGGCGAGAGAGTAGAGGTGAGGAGGGTAAGGAGTGTGACAAGGGGGCAATAATGGCTGGAGTTTAGACAGACATGCAGGGAAGAAAGGGGATGGGGAGTGGGTGTTGATGCAAGGCAGAAGAGGATGGATGGAGAGTAAGCGAGTGCAGGTGTGGCAGGTGTTGCCTTCCTCACTTCACGGCCTTCAAGCCTCTCATGCCCCGCACAGCCCATGCCTCACGCCCCTCACACCCCACCCCTCACACTAGAGTTGACCAGGTGCCCCGCTCGGGTCGGGCCGACCCGACCCGACCCGTGGTTTTGCCCGGGTCGGGTCAGGGTTTCTGAATCTCTGCCCCGTATGGGCCGACCCGACCCGACCCGGGGTAAGACCCGACCCGAGGGCCCATTTCGGGCCGGGCCGAGCCGGGTTTCGGGTCGGGCCTGCCCCGACCCGATTTCAGGTCTAAAATGTCGAAATCGGGTCGGACCAGGTGCGCGACCCGATTTCGACAGGGCTAGGGCTGAAACCCTAGCCCAAATGTAAATCGATCGAGGGGATTTTTTCCCCGTCGATTTACATTCGCCACCCCAGCAACTAGTGGCCTTAAAGTATTAAGTACCTTCCTTTAAACTACCTCCTATCTTAGGCTTTCCCCCACGAATGCACATACTTTCAGTTACATTCGTAGATATACGATTCTGGCTGCACTAGTAGTGCATTTCGCGCAGGTCAATTTCGTAGTTTTTAGGGTACTTAAATTCAAGCGCAACCTCTACTTTCCTTTGACCCCACGACATCCGTGGCGTTTCCGCTGTAGTGGACGCATTTACCGGCAACCGCTGCACGATTTCACATAGGTTTGCGTCGGCCGCTTGCACGGTGACGGGGAATCCGCGAGCACACGTTTCGTTGCACATTGTGATGAATACCCCCAGCCTCCCCTAAGGGGGCGGGTCTGCCTGGCCCGACCCGCCCCGACCCGACCCCGGGTCCCCTTTGACCCGAGTCAGTAGGCCCGAGGTCGGCCCGACCCGACCCAAGGGCCCGTGTGGCCCGGCCAAATCGGGTCGGGTCGGGCCGGGTCGGGCCACATGCTCAACTCCACACCCCACCCCTCACACCCCACCCCTCACACCCCACCCCTCACGCCCCACCCCTCACGCCCCACCCCTCACGCCCCACCCCTCACGCCCCACCCCTCACACCCCATCCCTCACGCCCCACCCCTCACGCCCCACCCCTCACACCCCACCCCTCACGCCCCACCCCTCACACCCCACCCCTCACACCCCACCCCTCACGCCCCACCCCTCACACCTCACCCCTCACGCCCCACCCCTCACGCCCCACCCCTCACGCCCCACCCCTCACACCCCACCCCTCACACCCCACCCCTCACGCCCCACCCCTCACACCCCACCCCTCACACCCCACCCCTCACGCCCCACCCCTCACACCTCACCCCTCACGCCCCACCCCTCACGCCCCACCCCTCACGCCCCACCCCTCACACCCCACCCCTCACACCCCACCCCTCACGCCCCACCCCTCACGCCCCACCCCTCACGCCCCACCCCTCACACCCCACCCCTCACACCCCACCCCTCACGCCCCACCCCTCACGCCCCACTCCTCACACCTCACACCTCACGCCCCTGCAACAGTGGCTCACCTCTTCCCTCTGCTCCTTCATCCCCCTCTCCCTGCGTGCGCCCCCCGCCAGCCCCAGCACGGGTCTGCATGGGCATCTGCAGCAGCTGCTGCCGGCTGCCCTCCACTGCTTGCACCACCCGCCGCACATCCCACTCCCCTTCCTCCCCTTCCTCCCCTTCCTCCCCTTCCTCCTTCCCTTCCTCCTCCTCTACCCCCTCCTCCTCCCCCTCCTCCTCCCCCTCCTCCTCCCCCTCCTCCTGCCCCTCCACCCCATCCTCCCCTCGCCCCTCGTCTACCTTCCCTGCCAGCGACCCGCCTTGCCGCGCCTCGCCTCGCTTGCGCTGCTGCAGCATGTGCTGCCACCCCGACACCGCGCCCCGAGCCAGCGACACCGTGGCGCGCGGGGCAGCCACAGCAGCCTTGCACACCGCCGCTCCACCCCCTGCTGCTCCTGCTGCTGCTGCTGCCACTGCTGCTGATGCTCTTGCTGCTGGTGTTGGCGATGCCCCTGCCCGTGTGCATGATGAAGGGTTGAGGCAGGGCCAGGAGCCGAGGGCGAGGGCGAGCTTGAGGGAGACAACGACCGCTGCCATGACGTAGAGGCGCGTGGGCCACCCAGAGGGGTGGGGCGAGAGGTGGAAGCGGGGGAGGAGGGATGGGAGGGAAGGGGCGAGGGAGGCGGAGGGGCAGAGGAGGTCAAAGAGGCGGTGCAGGAAAGGGGCGAAGAGCGGTACGGGTAGGTGCAGCTCCTGGTGGGGCGGGAGGAACAGAGGGGAGGGAAGGATGGGACGGAGGGGTACGGAGGGGTGGAGCGGGACAGGGAGAGAGGGAAGGAAGGGGAGAGGGACGGAGGGGGCAATGCAGAGGCGGGTGAGGGGGGGTTTGGGAGAAAGCGGAAGGGACGGGGTTTGGGGAGAAAGCGGAAGGGACGGGGTTTGGGGAGAAAGCGAAAGGGACGGGGTTTGGGGAGAAAGCGGAAGGGACGGGATTTGGGGAGAAAGCGGAAGGGACGGGGTTTGGGGAGAAAGCGGAAGGGACGGGGTTTGGGGAGAAAGCGGAAGGGATGGGGTTTGGGGAGAAAGCGGAAGGGACGAGATTTGGGGAGAAAGCGGAAGGGACGGGGTTTGGGGAGAAAGCGGAAGGGACAGGGTTTGGGGAGAAAGCGGAAGGGACAGGGTTTGGGGAGAAAGCGGAAGGGACAGGGTTTGGGGAGAAAGCGGTAGGGACAGGAATTTGGGAGAAAGCGGAAGGGACGGGGTTTGGGGAGAAAGCGGAAGGGACGGGAGTTGGGGAGAAAGCGGAAGGGACGGGGTTTGGGGAGAAAGCGGAAGGGACGGGGTTTGGGGAGAAAGCGGAAGGGACAGGGTTTGGGGAGAAAGCGGTAGGGACAGGAATTTGGGAGAAAGCGGAAGGGACGGGGTTTGGGGAGAAAGCGGAAGGGACGGGGTTTGGGGAGAAAGCGGAAGGGACGGGGTTTGGGGAGAAAGCGGAAGGGACGGGAGTTGGGAGAAAGCGGAAGGGACGGGGTTTAGGGAGAAAGCGGACGGGACGGGGTTTGGGGAGAAAGCGGAAGGGACGGGGTTTGGGGAGAAAGCGGAAGGGACGGGGTTTTGGGAGAAAGCAGAAGGGACGGGAGTTAGGGAGAAAGCGGAAGGGACGGGATTTGGGGAGAAAGCGGAAGGGACGGGGTTTGGGGAGAAAGCGGAAGGGACGGGGTTTGGGGAGAAAGCAGAAGGGACGGGAGTTGGGGAGAAAGCGGAAGGGACGGGATTTGGGGAGAAAGCGGAAGGGACGGGGTTTGGGGAGAAAGCGGAAGGGACGGGGTTTGGGGAGAAAGCGGAAGGGACGAGATTTGGGGAGAAAGCGGAAGGGACGGGGTTTGGGGAAAAAGCGGAAGGGACGGGGTTTGGGGAGAAAGCGGAAGGGACGGGGTTTGGGGAGAAAGCGGAAGGGACAGGGTTTGGGGAGAAAGCGGAAGGGACGGGAATTTGGGAGAAAGCGGAAGGGACGGGGTTTGGGGAGAAAGCGGAAGGGACGGGGTTTGGGGAGAAAGCGGAAGGGACGGGGTTTGGGGAGAAAGCGGAAGGGACGGGGTTTGGGGAGAAAGCGGAAGGGACGGGGTTTGGGGAGAAAGCGGAAGGGACGGGAGTTGGGGAGAAAGCGGAAGGGACGGGGTTTGGGGAAAAAGCGGAAGGGACGGGGTTTGGGGAGAAAGCGGAAGGGACGGGGTTTGGGGAGAAAGCGGAAGGGACGGGAATTTGGGAGAAAGCGGAAGGGACGGGGCTTCGTTAGAACGCGAAAGGGACGGGGGTTGGGGAGAGGGGAAGACAGTGGGAGAAAGATGATCGGGGGCAGAAGAGGTGACTTTATACGGGGGACACACGACTTGACACAGGACTTGACATTTTTGCAACGAGAGCCCAATTCGAATGGATTGTGATCACCGCTGCTCGCTCAACCTGACAGGCGTAACAGAGTGAGAGGGCGCATCTAGCATGTACCTGAAGAAACCGCTCCCCAATTAGGCGGAAGTTGAGGGGGGGCAGGCGCAGGGCGATGGATGCGGCAGCAGAGGCAGCGAGCAGCTCGAGCAGGCGGGCAGAGCAGAGGGCGAGCGGACGGAAGAGCGTGGCGGGTGGGACGCTGGCGGGGTAGCCCTGGAAGGGCGACAGCTGGCGCCACGCGGACAGGTAGGGCAGCGAACCGGAGAGCGCCAGGTGGCAGATGTCGGTGGGGAGCAGCGGCAGGCGGAGGTAGTGAGAGGCGAGGTAGAGGGAAGCGAGTGAGGCGTGCAGTGGTAGGTGGCTGGGGGGGGGGAACGGGGTGAAAGAGGGAAACAGGTGGAGGTGAGAAGCAAGGCAGTGAGGGTGAGGGGGCATGCAAGGCGAGGAAGAAGAGTGAGGTGAGCAAGAAGATGGGTTGGGGGATTTGGGTTGTGGGAGATGAGATGAGAAGCAGGAGTGCAGCCAGGGGACATGCAAGGTGAGGCGAGGGGAGCGAATATGAGGCGAGGGGAGTGAACATGAGGCGAGGGGAGCGAACATGAGGCGAGGGGAGCGAACATGAGGCGAGGGGAGCGAACATGAGGCGAGGGGAGCGAACATGAGGCGAGGGGAGCGAACATGAGGCGAGGGGAGCGAACATGAGGCGAGGGGAGCGAACATGACGCGAGGGGAGCGAACATGAGGCGAGGGGAGCGAACATGAGGCGAGGGGAGCGAACATGAGGCGAGGGGAGCGAACATGAGGCGAGGGGAGCGAACATGAGGCAAGGGGAGCGAACATGAGGCGAGGGGAACGAACATGAGGCGAGGGGAGCGAACATGAGGCGAGGGGAGCGAACATGAGGCGAGGGGAGCGAACATGAGGCGAGGGGAGCGAACATGAGGCGAGGGGAGCGAACATGAGGCGAGGGGAGCGAACATGAGGCGAGGGGAGCGAACATGAGGCGAGGGGAGCGAACATGAGGCGAGGGGAGCGAACATGAGGCGAGGGGAGCGAACATGAGGCGAGGGGAGCGAACATGAGGCGAGGGGGGCGAACATGAGGCGAGGGGAGCGAACATGAGGCGAGGGGAGCGAACATGAGGCGAGGGGAGCGAACATGAGGCGAGGGGAGCGAACATGAGGCGAGGGGGGCGAACATGAGGCGAGGGGAGCGAACATGAGGCGAGGGGAGCGAACATGAGGCGAGGGGAGCGAACATGAGGCGAGGGGGGCGAACATGAGGCGAGGGGAGCGAACATGAGGCGAGGGGAGCGAACATGAGGCGAGGGGGGCGAACATGAGGCGAGGGGAGCGAACATGACGCGAGGGGAGCGAACATGAGGCGAGGGGAGCGAACATGAGGCGAGGGGAGCGAACATGAGGCGAGGGGAGCGAACATGAGGCGAGGGGAGCGAACATGAGGCGAGGGGAGCGAACATGAGGCGAGGGGAGCGAACATGAGGCGAGGGGAGCGAACATGAGGCGAGGGGAGCGAACATGAGGCGAGGGAAGCGAACATGAGGCGAGGGGAGCGAACATGAGGCGAGGGGAGCGAACATGAGGCGAGGGGAGAGAACATGAGGCGAGGTGAGCGAACATGAGGCGAGGGGAGCGAACATGAGGCGAGGGGAGCGAACATGAGGCGAGGGGAGCGAACATGAGGCGGGAAGGGAAACGGGAAGTGGAGTGAAGTGGAGGTAGCCATGCAAGTGGAGTGGAGTGGTGTTGCCTTGCCTTGCCTGGTGCTCACAGCAGCAACAACAAGCGCGCCACCAACCACTCAAGGGCCTCACTCACTCACACGTGCAGCTTGCAGGTGACGGCAAAGAAAGGGCTTGTCTGAAGCCTCTCCGCCAGAGCAAACCACGTCTCCCTCATCGACGCCTTCTCACTCCCCCCCTTCCCTCCTTCCTCCTCCTCTCCCTCCCCTTCCACTCCCATCCCATCCCCCCCCATCCCCTCACTTCCTTCGCGTCTCTCAGCAGCCTCGTCCTCCCGAATGGCCGCCAGCTCCGCTTCAAACTGCCCCCACTTCTTCCTCCGCGCCCGCCTCGCCCGCTTCCTCACCTCCTCCCTCTCTTGCCGCCTGCTCCGCCTTGCGCCCGCCAGAATCGCCCGCAGCTCCCGCGCCCACTCATCCTCCTCCTCGTGCTGCCCCGTGCCACCCACTGCGCCGTTCCCCTCTTCGTCTCTCCCTTCTTCGCCTGCCCCCTGCGCTGCCGCGCACCCCATTCCCCCAAAGCCCCCGCTCCCGCCCTCCATGCCCCACCCTGCCATCTCCCGTTGCAGTGCCTCCCCCCCTTCCCCTCCCATCTCACCTCCACCTCGTCTCTTCCTTCCACCAGACTTCGCCTCCCCTCCCCATCCCTCCTCCCCATTTCCCCCTCCCCCAACCCCTCCCGCACCCCTTTCCCCTTCCTCCCAAGCGTGCCCCCCTCCCCATGCGCCCTCACCCACGCGCCACAGCAGCCAGCAGCGCTCGGCATACCCTTGGCGGAGCACACCCGCGTGCAGCACGAGGCGCAGCAGGATCTGCCGCGCCACGCTGCTCAGCGCTGCTGCATTGGCAGCCGAGGCAGCCGCAGCAGCAGCAGTGTCCTGCTCCTTGCGCTCCCCGCCCTCCCCCATGGGCCCCTGGGGCGGAGCAGGTGTGGGCGGGGCGAGCAGGGCGGAGAGCGCGTGGCACTGGCGGGCCAGCATGGCGTGAAGCCCCGCGCAGTAGTGCTCCGCCAGGGCGTGCGCCTGGGGGAGGGAGCGCGGGGTGGGCGGGAAGAAGAAGGGGAGGAAGGGGGGGGAAGGGGGGGTGGGGGTGAGGTGGGGGTTTAGGTGGAAGAGGAAGGGGTGAGGTGGGGAGGAAAAAAGGGGGTGTGGAGGGGGGGGGGGGTGGCATTGATGGTAGGCAGATGGGAAAAATCTTGCTCTCTTCACAGTTTGCAAGCGTACATGGCGCATGGTCCCCTAACCCCTAAACCCTCGTGGTGAGAGGGAGTGCGGGCAAGGGACAGCGAGCAGGCGCACACGAGGAGGCGAGAACGCATGGGGTCACAATTTCTCGCCCTCACCTTGCGCACCATTGTAAGCCCCCTGCACTTGCCGCCCACTCAACTCAACGCCCCACCTGCACTCCACGCCCCATCCCCACCTCCCACCTGCACTCCACACCCCATCCCCACCTCCCACCTGCACTTGCAGGCTGACGGCGCGAGCAGCCCTGGCGGCGTCCGCCGCAGCGACGTCCTGCCGCTGCTGGTGCAGCGCCACGTTGCTCTCGCGCACCACCGCCTGCGACCCCCCCATCCCCCCCACCCCCGTCCCCGCCGCGCCTCCGCCCGCGCCGCCCGCGCCGCCCTCGTTGTCCTCCTCGCGGAACTGCTGCGACACCATGCCGCACTCGCTGCACCGCATGGCGCCCGTGTGGTCGTCCTGATGGGGGGAGGGGGGGGGGGGGGAAGGGGGGAGGGGGGGCGGGGGGGGGGATGGAGGGGGGGGGGAGCAGAGGGAGGGGGGTGGGGGGGAGTGGGCTTTGGAGGCGCCTCAGAAGGCGTCCTCCCCGCGGAACTGCTGCGACACCATGCCGCACTCGCTGCACCGCATGGCGCCCGCGTGCCCGTCCTGCCGGGCGCGAGCGGGGGGTGGGGTTGGGGGGAAGGCAATGGGGTTGCGCCGCTTCTCAGATAGACGGATCGATGCTGCTGCGGGCTGTCTATTTGACATTGTAACGAACCTGCTCCATGCGGATCATGCTGTAACGCACATGCAGTCGTCGCCACGATGCAGTTGAAACTGTACTAACATGAAGTTGAAACTGTACTAACGCACCTTCTCCATGCAGTTGAGACTGTAACGCACCTTCTCCATGCAGTTGAAACTGTGACGCACCTTCTCCATGCAGTTGACGCTGAAGCACACGAGGCACATCTCCTGCTCGCTCCCCGCCATCGCTGCGCCTCTCCTGCTGCGACCCGCGCCTCTACTGCTACGACCCGCGCCTCTACTGCTACGACCCGCGCCTCTACTGCTACGACCCGCGCCTTGCTAACCTTGTCGCGCACTCGTTCGGAGCCCTCCTAAGAAACGGATTCCTACGCCTTTCAACTGGCGCGTTCGATAGTTGGGCATAGCAGTCAAGAGTGGCTACGGGAGTGGCGACCCCGTAACTACGGAATGTCGCGAGGGTTAGCGAGAAAACCCCCCCCACTTCTAAAAGGGGAGAATATACGAATGGTTACGACCATGAGGCTCAATAATGTGTACGATAAACATTACAGAGTTTTAATGTGTTTTGTAACTAATTTCATGCGTTTGGTTCATCAGTAGAGAATGATCACGAATGGTATATCTCAGCAGACAACTGACTCCACCCAGCGGAGCTCGCTGCCCACGGGGAGAATATATATATATATAACCCATTCGGGCATGCATCCGGTCAGGGAGGCATCAACCCTGAACACCTGGAGGCATGCGTTTAGGTTTGATGCCTCCATTGGATAGCATGCCATCCGATCGGGTTTTAGTTTTTTTCTGCCCAGGGGCCGCAGGTCGTCAGGTCGTCAAAGGGTCAACGGAGCTATCGACCCAATTCCGCTGAGGTATTTCGCGAATATTAAAACCCGCAGTCTGAATGACGAAAGGTGTTTTGAGGTGTTAATACTTTCTCTTCCGAACCAGGGTGGTTACCATGCGTTCATCTGCAAAACGTGATGAAGTCGCATGCATCACGGGGAAGGGTCGTTCGGTTCCTGCGCAACAACTTTGGGCTGTGGTGTGCACACCAAACTGGAGATGTAACTCAGGTCGTTCGAAATCGCTTAGTCCGATCAACTGGACTGACAGCCATAGCTTAGAACAGCTAGGCTCCAACCCCATTCCAGTGCCTGTCTCTTATTTCCGCCTTACTCGTTAGTACCATTATCCCATTTCATCCAATCCGTCGCTAAAGCTTTTCGCGATTCTAGGTCACGTTTTCACACGACATAGCGAGCTGCGCCCATGGATGCACATATGCCCATCGTTTACTTCCCCATCGCCCACCGCATCGATATCGCCCTGTCCGCGGCGCCTTCTCTCTCCGCGACTCTAAGGTTTTATCTAAATACTTCGTCGCATCGCTTCTTCTTCCCGTCGTCCGCACTCGGTCCCTTTCCGTCCCACACATGCACTACCCTCCATCGCTCACGCTTCCTCCCTCGAACGAGCACGCTCCCTCCCCTCTCGTCTCCTTCGTGCAATCCTCATTGTAATGCATGCTCACTTCCTTGTGTCGCGGATGATCACTCCTTCCCTTTGCCCACGCGCACTTCCCTCGAACGAGCACGCCCACTCCCTTCCGTCGCCCGCGCGCACTCTCTTAGCGCTGCCCACGCTCACTCCCTTCCGTCATAGCCAAATGCTTTTCGTGTCGGGAAGTCTAGCAATTGCATTTCACGTCGGGAAGGTTTGCTATTGTTTTGAGCGTCCGAACTACTTGATGCGTTTCGTTTTAGGGACGGCTAAATGCGCTTGCGTCGGGAAGGCCGAATGAGTTTAGTGTCGGAAAAGCTAATTGCGTCTCGTCCGACTCATTTTGTTCATGGGCCGTTCTCGTTGTGGGCTTGGTTAATATCTAAGAGTATGTTGGTGGTACTAGTACAAGTCCTCTAAACAGTCTGTCGAGTAGCCAGAGGTATGTCGAGGTATGTTAGGCTGCTCCCTACCATTCAGTTGGTGTTGTGTACACATTCTTCTCGAGTCGTTTGCTTGGTAGCGGCACCAGGTTGTCGCTACATTGTTTTTGCTAACAAGCAGTTTTCGCAATTCATCCGAACCTCAGATTGCTTGACCCCACCCCAACCCAAGCCTTGTGTTGACTGAGTTTTGTAATTTAGGCTGTGGGTTAGAAAACCAACCACCCAAAACGATCATGATTTCAAGAGATTTGAGTTTGCAGTTTGTAATGCACGTCTTTTTTGTTTCGATATCCATGTATACATATATGGAATCACGAGTTTGTCAGAAACAAGAAGTCAGGAACAGAAATGAAGAAAGGATGGTTTGCACTAGCAGCAGTTGGCATACATATAGGAAACCCTAATTGGGTTGTACTCGCTATAGAGTACCCCACTGCAGGCTAGACAATAATAACATTCTGACACACCCCCATAGCTAAAGTGGGGTGTAATCAGCACAATGAGCAGGCATAGCAATAGTTTACAATTATAAGCAAAGCTAGAGGCGATCACAGAGGGCAAGTGAGGAGGAGGAGGAATTGTGAGGGGAGAGAAGATGGGAGACGACGGCTGAAGCTGCAGTCACACGGGCAACAGGAGCGCGCACACAGTGGCTACCGAGCGCACGAGGGCACCGGACTACAGGAGTAACAGGCTCCGCGGCTACGACGAGCGGCAGGAGCAACAGACCCACGAGCGACAGGCACAGCAGGCTCTCTGGGCTACCGAGAGCACGACGGCTCCGGACTACTGGCGCTGCAGGCGACACGACGGCAGCCTCCACACAACCTCCCCCGACCGTCCCACGCCCCTCTCACACACCCCCTACAGAAACCCTAACTCCACTCCCACGTCACCCCCCCCGGCTCCACTCCCCTCAGCTCCCACACCTCCACCCCCCTCAGCAGCAGCTGCAGCAGTGGGAGACGAGCAAGGAGGAGGGGAGAGAGAAGGGGAGCACCCACACCGCACACCCCCATGCTCGCCACCCCACACCCCCCACCAACGTGGAACACACGGCGGCACGGGAGGAACGGGCAGCACGGGGGGGGGGGGGGGGACGGGACAGAAGGGGGGGGGGCCGCGCCCTCCTCCTCAGGGCGCCGAAACGGACGGGCGGGGGGGCGTGCGCGGTTCCCCAGTGCGCCGCGACGGACGGGCGGGGGGCGCGCGCGGCTCCCCAAGGCCGCGCGGCGGGCAGACGGGCCGCGCGTGGCCTGCAGACCCGCGCGCGACCTGCAGGGCGACGCGACGGGAAGGGCGGGGGCCGCGCGCTGCTCCCCAAGGCCGCACGACGGGCAGACGGGCCGCACGCGCCCTGCAAACCCGCGCGCGGCCTGCAGGGCGACGCGACGGGAAGGGCGGGGTGTTGCGTGCGGGTCCCCCACGGCAGAAAACCCCCGCGCGCCCCGAGCGCACGGCGGGATGAAGAAACCCTAAAAATTTTCGCCGCGCGCGGAGCGCGCGGCAGGAAGAAGATGTTGCGCGCCCGAGGCGCGCGAGAAGTAGAATAGCAGCGGAAGCAGTTAGGTGGCGGGCCCACCCACAGGATCGACCCAAGGGGGTCGACCTGCTCTGAAACCATCTCAGAAACAAGAAGTCAGGAACAGAAATGAAGAAAGGATGGTTTGCACTAGCAGCAGTTGGCATACATATAGGAAACCCTAATTGGGTTGTACTCGCTATAGAGTACCCCACTGCAGGCTAGACAATAATAACATTCTGACAGAGTTACGCAAAGTCACGTGGCATTAAACCAAAATGCATAGAATGTGGTGCACGTAATTATAATAAAGCAGGGGAATAGAATAAGAGCGGTCAAGGTTGCGGGGGAACAGGCACCGAAGGGCGAATTGTGAAACCAGTCAATCCCAGCCCCGACTCGATGCTTGTCACTCACGTCCAACCCCTCGATGCTTCTTGCTTGTTATTCTGTCGTATCAGTGGAAGTTGTCACCTTAGCTTCTAGCACATAGTGGCACACACTAGGAGGGAACCTTTAGGGGTGAGCGAGCCATCTCGTTCATAACAAGCAAGCAGTATAGACACGTAAAATGGACAAGTACGTGTGCTGGGGCGGGGTCTTTTTAGACGAGAAGAGGAACGGCCGCGGCATGAGCACTCACAGGAACGCGGGCGGTCCCTGGAGCGATCACCCAGGAGGCCCGCCTTTTGCGCGGAACGGGTTCCCGTCGAGCCGTCCCGACGACGGAGGTTTGGCGCACGGCGGAACAGCGGTGAAAGGCTCGTCACGCCGGCGAGCGGCGCGCCATGGCGGAGAGACGCATTCCACCTGACCGGAGGAGAGCACCGTCATCACCACGACAGTGGGGTGTTCCGCTCCCCAGAAGAGGGGAGGCAGTGACGCGATCAGCGAGGTCGCTAGCGGGGACGGGAGGAGACCCTGCGCGGTTGGGGCGAAGGCTCTGGCCTTAACCGAGCCGAAGGAAGTTCACAGGCCCAACCGACACAGGAGGACGGAGCGAGGGACGAGGATGAGGAGCACGAGCCAGTCTACGAACAGGCGGGCGAGAACCATCATGTACCGGACGGAGCTGAGGAAGGAGAATCCACGCCGACCAATGATACTGCCGACGCGGCCGAGGCGGCAGATGAGGAAGTGGGTGAGGCGTGGAAGGAGCCGCACGAGGAAGGTTCTGACCGTCAGGGAGGACACCGAGCAAGCGACGCGCTGCAGAGCCGGGAGGAAGACGTGCACGAGCTGTAGGTGCGGGGATCGCGCGAGGTTTAGAATCCGAGCACGCGCGCACGCCAGAAGGGCAGCGACGGCAGGCGGGGCAGCGAAAGGTCGGAGCGCGCTTGCCAAGGGGACCTTCGTCAAGATCAGAACGGCTTGACGACACGATGCAGCAGCGAGGAGAAGAGCAGGAGAGTGAATGGCGTAATGCCGGTTGTCAGCAGGCACGCAAAGGAGGGCGACATGGGGAACCTCGTGGGCAACAGGAAGGACGATTGAGGGGACAATGATGCTCGCCGCGCCAAAAGAGATGGTAAGACAAGAGGCCCATTGAAGAGTCACACTCGCCCGACCGATGCCGCGTGTGAGAGGGAAGGCTACACGAGGCGAGATACTCACCAGTCAGCCGTCGGCAGCAAGGGAGGGGCAGGGAAGGACGGTCACCATCCCCTTTA